TCATGCTGTTCTGAACACGGAGCAATCTCTTTGCTGCAAAGCTTATGGCGGAAATGGAATCCATGTATCCACACGGGTGGTCTGCTGCGTCGAATGTGCAGGCCTTCGATAATCGTATGTTCGTGTCCTGCAGCTCGAGGCTTCGATAGATGGCTATTTTTAACTGTTCCAGTGGATACCTGTTGGAGCCTATCTTCTGCCGCGCCCGGCCTCTGTGCAGGCTGTCATCCTCGGAAGAGTCGAGGGACTGCGTCTCGCCCAGGGCATCGCTGTCGTTGATGAAGTCGACGAGGCTATTGGTGCTTTGCGAGTCCACACTTCGCTGACTACTGCCTAGGGCACGTTAGCTGGTTCTTCTTAGGAACAGGCTCCTCACCAGATAGGTCAGTGCCTTCGGCGTCGCTGCCGGCCCATTCACTCGTGGAACTCATCTCACGTCGTGTTTCGCTGTACCTCAGAAAGTTTCAATATTTGCTCGGGCGATGCGTTTAAATAATTATGTACGGCCTGTCCCGATTTCGCACGTCGGTGGTGGAAAGCGGCCCGTGCCGATCTACGCGTGCCCTCGGGAGAGAAAAGCCTATTGTGGTTGTAGTTAGCTAGGCTTATAGGTACGGAGCTATGGTCCCTCTACGGGAGGATCTAACGCTCACTCACCTCTGAAACAGCCTGTGTCTTCCCATGCATAGCTCATCGACGGACGTTGTTTGATTTGGGCGGAGACCAGCCAGGAGTGGCTTCTCATCCAAGCATTCGATTCGGTTGGACAACCTTCTCCCGGAATGAGATCACAGCCCTATACATAATCGGTCTTTAGCGGCCGTCGTCCAGTTCAACAGTGGCAAGGGCATAAGTATGGACCATACTATCTAGGCGACGTGCTCATCCAGTGGCCGTCTCAGGTCTCCGCTCATCTGGATTTCCTATTGTCGGTTAGAGAGAGGAATTCATGGGCCAAGTGCGCTGACTCTTCGTGCAGCACATCCTACACTCGATAGAAAGGAGAGACCTTGTAGATAGCACGTAAGCTCGGCTACTAGGCTAAAAACTACTCTAGATGCTCTTCTTGGCGTGAATGAGTGGAGAGGAGTGAACGAACATCGCTACCCCGAGGCTCCTTACATCACGTAGGAGGATCAGCTGGGTGTTTGTATAATTCCCGCGCTTGATAGATAGGCATTGTCGCGTGTGCTGGCCGTCATATAGCAGAAAGTCACAGTACATGACTCCTTTGGGGTTTAAAATTGCTCTCTTTCTATCTAGCAGCAGGGCTCATAAGGAGGTTGCCGACATTCTGCAGGAAGAAATCTCAGGTAGCTGCATTGGATAGCAAATCGTCACTTGCATGCTAAAGCTGGACGCTAGACTGGGACGGAATGTTATATTAGCTACAATCTACGGGCGTACGCAGACGACAAATTCGTAATTGTGGCTGAATAGTGTCATTTTGCGTGGAATTTCATGCTGGTACACGTCTCACCGGCGGCGACCGCTGCTCAACACTCCCATGTTCCTCCATCGCGGTGTGTCTGGTCGCACCGCTTCATCTGCGCCTTCGCGTTGCATCGGTTCTCAACTGCTGCACTGCTTTTTCCAACTCCGGCGTAATCTTCAAATCGTTGGCTGGTAGAGTGAATATTGTGTGCAGATCGGAAACCAGAGCGTTCTCGAAACATTGCTCGGGGCTAATAAAACCTAGATCGACGGATAGAAGCATCATTTTCTGGTTTGTCAACTCACGACCTGCCTTCAGCACAGCCGTAGGGTCGCCAGCGTCAACCTGCTTGATTGTATGGAACCTTCCGTCCGAGTACGCACGGAACAGAACACGGATAGGCTCCGGTGACGGGCTTGCCTGGGCACGGCCAAGCGCGATGCTTTCCCTAGAAGAGGTGACGCTGCTGGACTCGGTGATGGGCGAAAGCCCGGCCCGTACGGACTCTACGCTTTGTTTCCTGAAGTTTCGAATGCTTTGCTCGAGTGTCAAGCGCTCTACAGGCGGAGAGCACGTTCTTGTCGGCTCTGATAGACGCTCTTCAGCCGCATTGGGGAGAGGACTCCCTTGTCTCGACGCTTCATGCTCTGAGCCGAAGAACGCATTATACTGACACCGCAGCACGAAGAAAGATGTGAGTTCCGGCCCACGCACGTCGAGCGATGCCAGGTCAGCCTGCAGGTTGCCGCGAGTGAGCAGCCCCCGGTCAAGCTGGTAGCTGTCCTTCTTCGGACGGCCGCACCTTCTGGACAGACGCTCAGTGGTATGTTTGACCACGAGGCTGGCCAGGGCGTCTTTGTGTAGGGCCGGCACCGTGTCTGTTCTGTGACAGCGCTTCGGATCGGCAATGTCGCCGGACCCTCTCTCCGTCGCATGCACATGTCTCTGTATCTCCGTGGACCGAAAACCCAGCTGCTGCGCATACTCCGCCGCCTGTACTAGAACATCGCGCGAAGCTTCGGTGATGGGTCCTGCGAGTCTCTTGTTCGATGCTGATATAGGGTTCGCCATGCCCTGGAGGTTGCCGAGCATAAATACCCATAGTTCCTGGATAGCAATGCCAGCTGCGGAGGCCGTGTCATTGCTCTCTTGTGCGCGTTCTACTGGCCTGTAACAGCCCAGCAACGCCTGACGAATCGTCTGGCCTCGCGGCGTCACGATATGGCGCATGCTGGTGGCGCAGACTTGGAGGACGTGGATGTCCTGGGAGAAGGTGCGTAGAGATGTTATAATCGTCTCGATGCTGAGAATCGCCGCGAGTATGGCGCTCCGCTCGTTTGGAGTGAAGGCGCGGAAGATGGCGCCCTGCTCCATCTGTTTGGTGATCAAGGCCGCATCGCCCGTGCAGAACCGCGGACAGCGCAAGTGCAGAGCCTGCACGTCCTCGGGCCCGAGTTTGGCTGTGGCCTCCTTGCTTCCCGCTATTCGTACCCAGAGGGCATGTGTATGGTCCAAATACGCCTTGGCTTCCTGCGTACAGCTTAGTCGGGGCGGACGCCACTCAGAAAGGCGGGCAAGGTACCTCATCAGCCTTGGCTGTTAAAAGCTTGTGTATAGTACTGATGAGTAGCCCCGACCGCATACCGGGTATATCGAGAAGAGGGCCGAGGGCCTCCTTCAAAAGGGTATTCTTCAGCAGACCGCGGACGCAGCGCCGTGCGTGGTCGGATGACAGACTGTTCTTCTGTGTCTGCCACGCCGCAAGAGCGCGCGCGTCGTCTTTCCTATCCTCGAGCCGCAGTCTACAGTAGACCTCGGCATTGCGTGTAGCTTGATCACGTAAAGCGTGCATTGGAGATGCTCCTCTTCTGCCACCATGGAACGACCGAAGCGCAGACATTCGATCGTATATAGATACATGGGGCCGTGAAACCCATTTCCCGTCGAGACGTGGGGCTTTGCCTGGAAGTGGCTGGCGCAGTCCAGTTTCGACTGCAGAGCTTCCTCTTTAAGATAGGCCTTGATAGAACTTTGTGACGTGCCCTCCTTGTCGACCACCACGGAGAGGAGGGGAGAATATGATCCACAAAGTCAGCCCACCGGCACTCTACGCAATCTGTACCGGTCTGTTCTTCACATCACTCTTTGTTATCAGCTGCATCCTGCCTCTTCTGCGTCGCGGTCTTAGACTCCTGCTCTTACAGATCCGGAAGCTCGTTTTTCATCGATTCACCATCGGTCGCCATTCTCTCATAGGGCCGTGGACTGTGTGGTTCACCCTGACGCACGTGGTGTACGTCGCAAGCAACGTGGCAGGCCTCTGCGTCGGGGCCCAGTCGACAAGCTTGTATATGTCGCGAGCAGGACAGCTCGCTCTCGTGAACGCGGCGCCACTGCTTCTTTCCATGCACCTGAGCTTCTTGGCTGACCTTTTCGGCCTTCGACTGAGGACGTTTTTGCTTGTACATCGGGCCTGCGGTCTCATGACCACAGCGCATGTCGTTTTGCATAGCATTGTTGTCGTAGCGCGCGGCGTCTCCATGGAAAGGAACAACTCGGTTGATGTGTATCCCGTAACAGTTAGTGACCTGGTGGAATTGGGACGGACTACGGCTGACGAGCACGCATTGTAGGCCGCCGGTCTTCTGCTCCTGTCAACATTGATCGGTCCTATCCTGCGCCGGCGGTACTACGAGCTTTTCGTACGGCTGCACCAAGCACTGGCTGGCGGCGTGGCGGCGGGTACGGTCATGCACCTACGGGCGGTAGCATGGTCTCGATGGCCGTTCATGTATGCGTATGGGGGCCTCATCACTGCGCTCACGTTATTTCAACTGGGACACACCATCCTCTACAACAAGCAGCTAGGGCTACCACTGCCGCGTATCGACGTCACAAGCAGTCACGGCACCGTCAAGGCAACGATCACGGTGTCCAGGCCGCTAGTCATCGACGCGGGCCAGTACGTCAATATCTGGGTTCCTTCAGTATCCCTGTTCTCGAGCCACCCATTCACCATCACATCCTGGTCGCCAGACCCAGTCCGGCGGTTCGAGCTGTTCATCCAGCGGCGACAAGGGTTCACTAGCCGCCTCCATGACCGGGCCGAGCTACACAGAGACATATCCGTCCAGTCGAGGATGCTGTTCAGTGGCCCTCACGGCTCAAGCCTGCGGGTCTGGGACTTTGAGCATGTTCTCTTCTTCGTGCAGGATTTTGGGATCGCGGCCGCTCTTCCACACCTCCAAAAGCTCGTGCATGGACGAGCGCGGGGCCAGCGCAAGACAAGGCGCGTTCACGTACTATGGCATGTCAACAACATTGGTATGAGGCGTGCTGTGACGTTGGGTGCCTCGCTGACTACTGCAGACGCACGGCAGGCTGTCACGCCGACCATCAATGATCTATTTCACGCAGACGGCGCAGGAGAAAGCTATGTACGTTGACCACATATCCGAGGAAAGCAGCTGACAGACGCCTTGCGAGCAGATCTTCCATGTGTCTATTTACAACGGCATTGAAATGGAAACAGAGACTTCGAGCCACGGACGCTTCACGATCCACCCAGGGGTGCCTAACGTCTGGGAGATCCTCAGCACGGAAGCTAATTTAAGAGAACAGCAGGTGGCAGAGGGCCGGACGACCACCGACGCGGTGCAAGAAAGCTCGGCGCTAGACACACCCCGAACCGGTATGGGGAATCATAGCACGGGTAACAACGAGCGGACCCTGGTAGTTGGCGAGTCAATTCTGATCCTCGGCCCTGCGTAGTGACTATGCTAACAGCGTTTAGTCTCGGCCAAGGGAGCGTTGCGTGACGAGGTCCGCCTCTCTCTCCGCGGATTCCTTTCAAGGGGGTTCGAGTTACAAGATCTTGATTTTCAGCCTGTTTGATACTGTGGGTGGTTATCAGGCAGATTTAACTAGTATTCGCGCAGCTTCATACGGCATGACTATAGACGCTTTGCCAAGTCGCGCTTCAATGTAGCATGCCGTAGCACGAGATCAGTCACAGTGAAACAGTACCTCGAGCATGCTTTGCAAATGGACAAGAATGATAATTATACCGGTAGCTGTGCGTCATGCTCGAACAGCCGCGAATCTCGCTAGCTTTGTGTGCTTCGAGGGCCGATAGTCGCGTTTCGAGCGCAACTTACCATGAGACTAGACTCAGGGCCGACTCAAACAACCATCCTAATGTCACCACAATCCAGGAGCAATGCACGCCTGCCATACCGCCACGGTAGGGCATCGAAGGCGGTGAGGAAAGCATGGGTTTGGAAATCATGAGAGAACCAAGACAAGTTTCAATACTTGGTGTCCATAACGACGGAGACGTGTGATCGGGGAGCCATTTCTAAGAAGCTCGAGCTTACCCGACACTACGCAATTCGTGAGACGTGCACTTGACACCGAACTATTGGGTCTCTAACGAATCTCTTAGACTACAACTATCGCAAAACCTGCGTCTGTGCTCTCAAGTTTACGCATGGGGGGGAGTTAGAAGTCAAATAACATGGCGTTGCGCTGCTGTTGCCTTATGCCTTCGATTGTCGAGAACAGAACCCGCTTGGACTCCATAGTTTCCAGTAACAGATGTCCTCGTGGGTTTTAAGTGCTTCTTCTAGATGCTTTTGATTTGCTAGTAACTCCGGGCTTGGTGATTTGTTAATGCCACATAGTAGCGTGGCAGTATTGCGACTGCCAGGCCACTGTCTCCGAGCACAGGCACCCCATTCAACGATTAGAGATGGTTGGAATCGATTCTCATCACTGCTACTGTTGTGGCTATGCCCCTTTGGACTATGCAAAGACAATGACGAGAGGGATCATAGCAAGATATTCAAGTCCAACGTGTCGGTTCTATGTCTCCTTTCATCCGACGCCTAGGCATAGCATGACCATCTATCCAGCGCTGAGTTCTTGAGCCACGCGTATCCGCTGATAGGCGTAGATCAGAAGCGCCAGGCTTGAAGCCAGCCCGCCTTCCAAATTGGAAAGGAAAGCTCGTGGTGTTGATCGAGCTGAAGAGGGAAATATTGTCAATATCGTTTCCGTTTCTGTTGTCAGTGCTGCTTAATCGGTGCGTTGTTGCAATGTCGAGATAATCCTTCCTGTCAGCAAATAGCGCAAGGTATTTTCCTAAGTTCTCCGTGGAGCCGTCTTCCAGGAGCACCGTCCCCGCTTTGTCCACAGGGTAAAGCTGCGCCAGCTCGTTGGAAGTAACCAGCGACCAATCTGGTAGTTTGTAACGGTCAAGAGAACAATCCCTCGACTGTGTAGCATCCATAGTAGTTTGTAGACCAGCTGTCCTCATATGAGCATGTAGGTCGGTTGACGGGACGAATATTCCACTCAGACCTAGCGGTCCCTTGATCTCGTACTTGTCCGTTGACTGCAAAGCTGGTTCCAGAGCTGGGGCGAACCGAATTAGCCGATTGAGATTTGCTAACCCATAACGTGAATGGTAAGGGACTTTGAGAGTCAAGAGAATCGAGAGCGGAGACCGAGATCCTCGAATATGAGACTCTGGAAGCTCATCTGCCAACGCCTTGCCATAGGTGCAGCCATATTTGCATTCCAAATGGGTTTCGAAAACATGGTAATCAGCAATGCTTATTTGCCCGTCACGCTCGGCTTTGGAAAGCAGGTCCTCCATCTTCCTCTGGAGTCCGATGATTTTGGAATCGTGAGCAGCGATTGGGTAGAGGGCAACTGCGGCAAAGCGCAGGTAGCTCCTGACATCGTCTGCGTCCAAGTAGCTGGTCCTTGAAACGGAGGTGAAGCGAATGCTAAAAGACCTGCTAACCTTGATTGTATCCCAAGACTTGGCTCCTTGAGTTGAACCTAACTGAAGTTTCTCGTAGATTTCTTTCACCGAAATGTCCCAAGCATGCCTCGTGTCGATGAAACGGGCCCAAAGGTCTCCAAGGTATTTGCTTCCAAGCCAGGAAGGAGGGACATCCTTCCCCCCGATGAATTCGTGGAGAAGCTGAAAGATCTGGCGACAATCAGATATGGCATCGCGATAATCCCTTGAAAACTTCGAGAACTCAGTGATTACCACATCACACAGATCAGGATTGTCTGTAATGCAGATAGTGTCGAGATCGATGTTTCTGTGATAAATCCCGCTGCAGTGTAGCGCATGGACAAGCCTCAGAAGATTATAGAATACCCTCCGCCCAAGACTTTCTGTCTGGGAACACGACCGCAAAGGTACGATGTCGTCTCGCAAAGGACTCAAGAGATACGCGTGTCCATAATGTTCGCGTACGTCTTCATCGATCACGAAGGAGTCAGAAATCTGAAGTTGTGAGCAAAACCAACGAAGCTTACAAGGGTACTCACGGGCAATTCCTGAAGCAATCGTGTGCGTGCTCGAAGACTATCAACTTCAGAAAGGGGATACCTTCGAGCAAGAAACATTGTGCATGTCCATGGATCTAAGGCGAGGTATTCCCGTGGGCCGGGGCTCACGCACATAGACTTGTCGAAGATATACAACCGATCTGGAGGATCTGCGTGCCCAGGTGTACTCAAGGTGCTGGTGGAAGAAATAGACCTCTGGGTCAAATCCCACTGGCTTGGCAAGTCCTCAAACCAGACAAGTTCCCCAGAATCGCGAGGAGACCGGCAGTAGATCTCAAGTCTGAGACCTTCGCCGGATTCGTCTGCCCATTCCACATGGTTCGCTTCATGAGGGTGTAGTGCCATACCTGGCATGTCGCGCTCGAGTGGAGTGTCTTTGTGCACCACTAATGATGAACCGAATGTTCGTATAATCCAATGCCCATTTTTTAGCCCGAGGATGAGTTCACATCGAGAGACACTGCGGTCTTCCCCAAGCCATATGTCGGCGAAGCGCTGTGGGGCGCGCTGCTTTGTGAGCTTCTGATTAAGACGAGCAAAGCGCGAAAACTCACCTTCTGACGCTTCCTGGGCGTCTCGACCTCATCGTCGTCGTTGTTATCAGTGCTCTCGCGAGCGTTGGTCTTCTTGGCGGCCTGCTCGGCGGCCAGCCGCCGAGCTTCCGCCACCTGGGCGCGGGTCTGCTGAAGGCGTTGATGGGATGTTGAAGCTGCTCACACACGTTAGCAAAGCTCGAAACTCAAACAAAGAGCATAGCAAACATACCGGCAGGCATAATGAAAGCGATGTACGGAGGAACATCAAATTCCGGCCTTTGGCAGGGGAAGGTGACTCCTTTATGCACTTTCGGCCTCTGACCTCAACGCTCTGAAAGCATTGTTCAAGTCACGAATAAGCCTATTGAGGCTTCAACACATACTCACGAACAATAGCAATTGAGGGCATCACCACATCACTAACGCCACCTACAGGACCCAACAACATCAGACCAACTCCACAAGAGCACTACAATCATTACAGCAACGCTCTAACCCCTCAAATCAAGCAGAGATCTCACCTTGGAGCCCCACCTATTGGCAACAACAATGACACTTGCGTGGTCAATTGACCACACAAGTGGGGGGTGTGTGATGATGAGCCCACCTTACAGCGACGCTAGGCTCGTTTGAGATTCTGCCATTAGCGGTGAGAATGACGAGACAGGAAGTGTAAGATCCTGAAATGGTGAGACCAGAAGGAACAGATCCGGAACACAGGAATTGATGAAGGAAAGCTCTGGGAGAGCAGATTCATGCAATCGAGAACGCATAAAACAGAGCCTCAACGGCTATCTCTTTTGTAATAATACAAGGCACTTGAACAACCTTCTCCACAGCGCATCACAACAGTTTTGTTGTTTCGGATTCGAGGAAGATATGGAGCAATATCGGAAAAAGGCATTGGTTTTGTACAGTATTCTTAAACATCTCAGCTTCTTTCAGTATGCTTTCGTCCAATCGTACCAGCTTGATAGGTCCAGGCCGTGGCTCGTGTACTTCAGCATGGGACTAATGTTGGCTTTGAATTGCCCCATCTGGATGCCACAGCGAGATGGTTGACGGCGTGCATGCAATGGCCTGTGGGCTTGTAGGTACACACTAGGGGATCTAGCCAGGTTTGGCGGACCTGGGTGAAAGCCGAGCGACGATGTGATGGTATGGTGGGGCCAGCAATGGTAGTAAGGGCGGGCAGATCTTTCGTAGTGCTATTATTGTGTGACGTTCGGGTCGGACTAACTACAGGGTAGGGTAGATATGAGGTCGGTTTATTGCTGCGTGGCGGCATTTGAAAATTGCGTACATTGGAAAGTGTAGCGTCGCTTATATGCGGGGTTCGTTCGCAGCCGCTTTACCTTATATCCCACCGTATCGGTAGTCATTGGCTTCTCACGATGGCGGGCATGGGATTCGCAGGGTAGGTAGAATTGTAGGGATTAACTAACTTCGATGCGCCCACGTCACTTCCATTATTGCCTTCCTGATGCCAGAGACAGATCACTCATTGACGCGAATAAGTACACCTTCCGAAAAACCTGTAAAATTTCGCAGAGAAGCGAAATCGTGATATTGGTCCCGCCCAGGGCGTGCGCTAGTTCTTATTCGCCGTCGACGACTGACCGATCCAGGATTCTCTTCTTTCTTTCTCAAGCACCACCCAAGACTAAAAGACTCTGAATTTTGATTCCTCCAAAGCCTAGGCGGCGCAATAGGTCTCGGCCACGATGAAACGGGAACTTGGCCACGACCATGCCGTCGACATCCTCCGCATCGACTCCAGCTTTGCGCAAGAGCTGTAACACCGCAAAAAGCGTATTTCCCATGGTAAGAACATCATCGACCACCACCACTGACGCGCCTCTGCAGACCACATCACGTTCCATCTCAATCCGCTTCTCTCTTACTTTTCTGGATGACGAGATATGCGATGAGTACTTGGTGACAGAAAAAGTGGGTGGGGGAAGCTTGCCGGCTTCGCGAATCAGCGCCAGTAGCACACCGACGTGCGCAGCCAACGCCGAGGCGTAGACAAGGCCGCCGATCTCACTGCAGGCCGTCGAGGACGTGGCGGAAGTCAACGCCCGTACGGGGAAGTTGGGCACCGGGCGAACCGTACAACACCCCATCATTCTCGCTGGGGATCTCGCAGGATATCAAGTTGAGGCTTGGATCCGTCACTGCCCCTGTTCTTGCAGTTGGCAGTTGCGTGAGGGCTCCCCCACGGGCCAGGCCACCCATGACCGGCGACCTCGCTGTGTGGCAGCCACAGTCCGAGAGGGTGATGGCTCAGCCAGCTTGTGGCTTGGCGGCCGACTTTGCCAAGCACACTGCGACTTCCGCCAGGACTAGAGTTGAGAGTGTGTGATGGCTCCGCCATCGCGGTGGACACCTGCCTGGGGTATTCTTGTCGTGTGGCAGCCATCACAGAGGACGAGAGTCGAGTGTCAGTATAATGCCTTCTTCGGCTCAGAGCATGAAGCGTCGAGACAATGGAGTCCTCTCCCCAATGTGGCCGAAGAGCGTCTATCAGAGCCGACAAGAACGTGCTCTCCGCCTATAGAGCGCTTGACACTCGAGCAAAGCATTCAAAACTTCAGGAAACAAAGTGTAGAATCCGTACGGGCGGGGCTTTCGCCCATCACCGAGTCCAGCAGCGTCGCCTCTTCTAGGGACAGCATCGCGCCTGGCCGTGCCCAGGCAAGCCCGTCACCGGAGCCTATCCGTGTTCAGTTCCGTGCGTACTCGGACGGGAGGTTCCATACAATCAAGCAGGTTGACGCTGGCGACCCTACGGCTGTGCTGAAGGCGGGTCGTGAGTTGACAAACCAGAAAATGATGCTTCTATCCGTCGATCTAGGTTTTATTAGCCCCGAGCAATGTTTCGAGAACGCTCTGGTCTCCGATCTGCACACAATATTCACGCTGCCGGCCAACGATTTGAAGATTACGCCTGAGTTGGAGAAAGCAGTGCAGCAGTTGAGAATCGATGCAACGCGAAGGCGTAGATGAAGCGGTACGACTAGATACACCGCGATGGGGGAACATGGGAGCGTTGAGCAGCGGTCGCCGCTGGTGGGACGTGTACTAGCATGAAATTCTATCTAGAGTGACGCCACTCAGCTACGATTACGAATTTTTCGTCTGCGTACGCCCGTAGATTGTAGCTAGTATAACATTCCGTACCAATCTAGCGTCTAGCTTTAGCATGCAAGTGACGATTCGCCGTCTAATGGTGTATCTAGCTGAGATTTCTTCCTGCAGAATGTCGGCAACCTCCTTATGAACCATGCTGTTAGATAGAAAGAGAGCAAGCTTAAACCCCATAGGAGTCTTGTAATGTGACTTTCTGCAATATGACGCCCAGCACACGCGACAATGCCTCTTCATCAAGCGCGGGAAGTATACAAAAAGCTACTCACACCCAGCTGATCCTCCTACGTGGTGTAAGAAGCCTCGGGGTAGCGATATTCGTACACTCTCCACTCATTCACGCCAAGAAGAGCATCTAGAGTAGTTTTCAGCCTAGTAGCCGAGCTTACGTGCTATCTACAAGGCATCTCCTTTCTGTTGAGTGTAGGATGTGCTGCACGAAGAGTCAGCGCACTTGGCCCATGAATTCCTCTCTCTCACTGACAACAGGGAATCTAGATGAGCGGAGACCTGAAACGGCCACTAGATGATCACGTCGCCTGGATAGTATGGTCCGTAGTTATGCCCTTGCCACTGTTGAACTGGACGACGGCCGCTACAGACCGATTATGTATAGGGCTGTGGTCTCATTCCGGGAGAAGGTTGTCCAACCGAATCGAATGCTTGGATGAGAAGCCACTCCTGGCTGTTCTCCGCCCGAAATCAAGCAACTTCCGTTGAGGAGCCATGCATGGGAAGACACAGGCTGTTCCAGAGATGAGTGAGCGTTAGATGCCCCCGTAGAGGGACCATAGCTCCGTACCCGTAAGCCTGGCTAACTACAACCACAATAGGCTTTTCTCTCCCGAGGCCACACGTAGATCGGTACGGGCCGCTTTCCACCACCGACGTGCGAAATTGGGACAGGCCGTACATAATTATTTAAACGCATCGCCCGAGCAAAATTGACACTTTCTGAGGTACGGCGAGACACGACGTGAGATGAGTTCCACGAGTGAATGGGCCGGCAGCGACGCCGAAGGCACTGACCTATCTGGTGAGGAGCCTGTTCCTAAGAAGAACCACCTAACGTGCCCTAGGCAGTAGTCAGCGAAGTGTGGACTCGCAAAGCACCAATAGCCTCGTCGACTCCATCAACGACAGCGATGCCCTGGGCGAGACGCAGTCCCTCGACTCTTCCGAGGACGACAGCCTGTATAGAGGCCGGGCGCGGCAGAAGATAAGCTCCAACAGGTATCCACTGGAACAGTTAAAAATAGCCATCTACCGAAGCCTCGAGCTGCAGGACACGATTATACGATTATCGAAGGCCTGCAGATTCGACGCAGCGGACCACCCGTGTGGATACATGGATTCCATTTCCGCCATAAGCTTTGCAGCAAAGAGATTGCTCCGTGTTCAGAACAGCATGATTCTTGGTATTGAGAAAGCCGCCGGTCGGAGAGAGAAATACTTTGGCCCGGAATCTGGGGGTGGGGCACCTATCTTGGACAATAGAGACGGACAGGATGACGGCGACTAGCGTCGGTGAGCACCATGCACCCGCCGTTTCCAGCTGCAGATGCGAAGAGAATAGACATACAACTTCATTGGCTGCTCAAAGACGCCTTAGGGAAGAAGCAGTGGTGCAAATGACGCGGAGGGCCATGTCCTGTTTCCACTGCTGCTCGCCGTGTTTGCCTCGCCTCGGGCGGGACAGCTCTGCAAGCAGCCGGCCGTCGTACGGACCCCTGCCGCGCCGAACCCGAAAAAGCAACGTATGGGGTTTGGTTACGCGAGGCCAGGGGTGGATTCGGGGAAGTGCTGCTTTACCACGCCAGTGCGTGTTGGGTTGGTGGCATATGTGATCACAGTGGTTGAGATGGCTCGTCCAGGTGGCCTACGCGGGTGGCCTACGCGGGTGGCCTACGCGGGTGGCCTCCAGATACCATGGGTCGTTGCATGAGTTGATTCGAGTGTTGTACTACGTGACAGCTATTAGTGCCGTTGAGAGTAATGTGTTGAGGGGACGGGGATTCGTGGGGAGACCGTGCAGTGCGGTTACTTATCGTACATGGTGAGATGACGATGGCGAGTTACGGAGACGCACGGCACAATGCTGGAGCTCGCCGACGTGCATACAAAATATAGCTCTATTCCGCTACGGAAGCACAGGATTCCAGGTTATCTGCGGCCTGCTGATCACATTTGTGTAACGAAGGCGTTCTCGTGTTGCGTGTACCAGCAACACAACATCAAGTGATGTAGGCCGCCGTTGCAAACAATGCATGGCCCAAGGGGGCCACAATTCGCGCTGCGCAAAGTCAGGGGCGAAGACATGGGGCAGACTGTGGCCACCACCAACCATTCCACCGAAAGTGTACATAAGGCCGCCTTTGGCCCATTCCGTCTGTCCCGTTCTGCTTCACCCTTTCCACTCGCCTCAATCCACTACATACCCCATGCTTACCACAGAAGAGGGACGTCCGCCGAAGTCGCCCGCCATGGATGCCGCACAAGCCAAGGAGACAGCCGACAGCATGCTGGAGGATCCTCCACTCATACTCGAACTCATGAAGGCGGTGGCTTCATTCATCAGCGTGGGCCAGAAGGAAGCAAGTGGTTACCCGTTTCTCTCCCAATCCCTTTCCAAGATGGCCTCAGAGTGCGACAGTGTCATATCGATGTTGCAAAAATTTGTGTCGCCTCATCTCATGGACGTCGCACTACAGACTCCCCCTGACTCGACGTCACCAACGCCTCGGGCCCCAGGACCACCACGCATTCCGATGTTCGATCTTCTTCCTCCGCTACGACTAAGTACTGGCCACTTTGACACGGAGGGGCCCGCGCCCTACAACGGAAGTCGGGATAGCGGAAGCCACAACCTCGGATCGACCAGTCAACTATCCACTGCAACAAGACCAGTCGAGTTTCCCGGTGACGAAGAACCGCACCTCACACAGAACCAGCCCGGCGAGGAATGGCAGACCGTCGGACAGGCGTCGCATACCGTCATGCCCTTGTTGGGGGGGGACTGGCTATCCACTCCTAGTGGTGATGAGATGGTCGGAGAGCTATCCCGTCTTCCGCTGGCATCATCTTCCAGAAGCGAAGAGACTTCCTCTCAACTAACTACCAGCTGCATCCCCTTCCCAGAATGCCTTGGTACTGTCTTTACGCCAACAACAAGGAATGATGCTCTCCTTGAGGGCTACTCCAGCTCTTTCCATACCAACGGCACGGACCAGTCTGACATGTTCTTCGGTGCACAAATTCTCGAAGAGCAGCTGCAGGCACTATGCAGAACGGATCCGGGGCAGCACGTGTCGTTTCTCGAATGCACGACTCCCATCTCACCATGTCGGCAACACGGCACTAGCACGCCGATCCTGTCAGGACTTGAAGGAGCTACGGGCGGTTGCCTGAGTGATTCATACGCCCAGCCGACAATGCCTTTGGAGCCAATGACTCTTCCCGAAGCGAATCCCCTCACCAGAGCTGCGCCGGACACCTGCTGCCCTGCCGATCTCACAGTGGTACCGCCAGACCCCGAGACAGACCTGGCGAATACGGCCGTCCCAACGACAGAGACCGGTGATACGGAGACAGCATCCACGTGCGTCAGTGCCGACGCCGAGGAGCAGGCCAACCTGAGCCAGCCACGGCAGGGTGACACGCGCGCTGATTTCTCGGCAACGGAGACCGCTACGAAGCGCAAAAGACCGAGCGACAGGGACGACCCGTTCCCCAAGCGCCGAAAGGTTCTACTCGAGGCAGTCGAGGTCAAGCTGACTGTGAATGCGCCATCCTACCTCTTGGGTGCGGATCACTGCTCTTGGGTGCATCAGACGACGGGGGAAAGCTCTGTAGTAGCGTTCAACGATTTGCAAGAGACTTCGCGGGTGGGAGTGCGCGTGTGCGACGTGCCTTCGGACCAAAAGAATCAAACCATCTGGTTGCAGCCCGACATCGGAAAGAGACAGTGGAAGTGGCGAGGTAGGGGTGAGGGAGGCAGGTCGTTGGGTGTAGCCATACTCACCCTTAGTCGCCTAGTGCAGACACCAGGAAGGGGTCCGTTTGAGGGTACCTATCTTTCGTAGAAAAAGTGGCTATTTTATTGTGTTCACCGAAGGGATTATTGCACATTGTTTAAAACACCTTGCATACAAGTCCTCGACACCTAGGGACCAGCCCACGTTCTTTACTCTATGTGCTATTTGCACTCTCACAGTTATGCTTGTACGCTTGCCTCGACACTTCAACTTGACGCTCTCGTAGTAGCCACGCCGAGCTGCCATGAAGCGGACAGTACAGCTCGAGGTGTGTATCGTATTCACAAGCCCCTTGGGCCTAGCAGGGGTGGCGCACGGAGGGGATATATGTTACAGGTCTCGCCTCACAGCCGCATCCCTCTTTCTCACCGGCACGCTGACACAGCTTACGAACCCTTTTGTCCCTTCTCACTGTCATCGCATGGTGAGATGTTTCTGCGACGAAGGTGCGGCTCCTGCAGCAAGAGGCTCTCGAGGGGTCCGAAATGGCGGCTCAGCGGTTTGGGTCTTGTACGTACGCTCGCTGCCTTTGTCAGCCAAGCTTTCTCTAACGTGTCCCAGCTCTACTGTCACCAGTGCGTGGCGGCAAAGCGCCAGCGGAGGGTGAAACAGTCCTGGATCAGACAGTACGACTGGGATGACGAGACATGCCAAATATGCTTCCGGGGCGGGCTCGCGTGCTCGCCAGCCTTTACACCCTGCGGCCACTGCTATTGCGAGAGTTGCCTAATGCTATGGCTTGACTCAGGCAATGGGTGTCCAACGTGTAGGGCTGCGTTTCCCCGGAGTGAGGTACTCAAGGGCGATTATGTGATGGTTCATGTGCTATAGGGGCAGGAACGTGTGGAAGCGGTGGATCCCTCCTTTCGAGTTGTCCGGACCTTGTGTGCACCGTATCACGGTACAATCTACGGCCGTGGTGATAACCGTATCTCACTCGTGACCTACGCTGTGTCTGCACAGGCCGAATCACAGGCGCAGGTGGTCCGGCTACATCTAGCTCGGCCAATCATTCAGCATCTTATGTATGATTCCGTACAGTATTCATCTGTGACTCTAGAAGTCCTCCCACCGAACTGACCCCAGCTGCAATGTGAGACGATCTGAACCCAGGTTCACCGGAAAAGAATCCACTATGCTGTTTTCGTGGGCCACTCCCACAGCTGTCTGCGCGGTTGCCCCCTTATGGTGAGATCTGCAGCGAACGGACGCAAGGCATGTGGCCGGTTGGGACTTGACCCTACCCCTACCGGCCGGAAAAGCCGTTTCATCCCACAGCCCCACGACATACCCTGGTCCTGAAGCTGGGTGGCAGGGCGGCAGCATCTGGCCCACCCACACTTTCCGCCGCCTTAGTCCTGTTAAGCAGACACCTAGGTCGCCACCGTGCATCTCTGCGCTTTGCGACTCCCGTCGTCCAGAAGTAGACGTGGACATTTATCACGCTCATCCTGTCTGTCGCTCGTTTCGCGCAGGACCATCGCCAGTATTAAACATGGGCGCGAGCATCGGGTTGAAGTTCGCCGTCCCTCGTTCCTCTCCGTGGAGTCGTGGTAGTTGATATCGTTACCTCTCCTTCCCATCGATATGAACAACCAATTTGGTCCCCCGGGAAACGCAGGCTTCGAATCATGGCGCCGAAGACCCGAACCTATTAGTCCTAATCGAGCACCCTCAGCGGCCGAACAGCTGTTGCACCAAGTCAATAGCCAGCCATGGCAGCGGGGCAGCTACGGTCCACCGAGCATGGACTATCCTCGGACAAGCCTGCGTGCTCCAAGCTCCCTGTCTGTCAAAGCAATAGTCCGTCCTCGCAGAGCACGCCAGCTGACCACCCTGCATAGACCAACCCATGGTGGTACACCGCACGCCTGGCAGGAGGAGAACGAGAGACTCAAAAACGAGTACGTCACCGCAAGCGTCTGTGTTTCC